GTTCATCCATTTAAAAGACTAATCATATTTTACTATAACAACAATTGCGCTGTAATGCAACAACCCTGTTGGCGCTAAAGTGCTTACCAGACATCATAGTCTTTGCACTTAAACAAGCCTTAATTATGAAATATATCTTGAATTTTAATGTCAAAGTTATAAATGATGATAGCATTAATCCGCAAATAGAATAAGCATAACTCTTAAGATGAGAAATCTAGTTCATCAAATTTATGATTTTCTAAAATTAAATCTCACCGATAAACGCCGGAAGAGAAATGTCGTGCATTAAACGGTTTAGAGTACGTGTCATTTAGAATAAAGCAATGTCCAACCTTGAAATGAAAGCATATAAGGTGTCTGAATAAAGTGGTACCTCAATTCCTTTTACCTCCTTAAAATAGGAAGGGCAATCCGTGTGCTTACATTTAAATGAAGACGCAAGAACCGCTATAGAATTAGAACACATATGAATTACATACGCGAAATGTCTTTGTTGGCTCTAAAGTTGCATCTTTAATAAATAAGGCGGCAATTAATAAAATTAACCTTTCGCAAATAAGCAAGGTGTCTTCGCCAATATTTGAAGTGATATGAAACTCATGAGAGACGCTTCCGCCTACAGAACCCGCATTAGCAAGTGCTGGAATATATAATTATGGACATATACCTTTTATGTAAGATAGTCCAAGATCCTGGAGAAGGGATTCATACACATTGCAGACATCATGGTATGTTTTTTTTAAGCAAGTAATGTCGGAATGAAAAGAATATAAGTCTAAAATTAGCTTAAGAAATGCAGCTACCTTTCATAATAAACTCTTTAGTTCTTAACAAGCCATTTTTGGGACGAATTTCGTCTCGAAACTTTGTCGAAATCTAATATAAATAAGGAGTAAAACAAACCTGGTATAATAATAGTGGCAGGATGGAATTAGGGAGATTCAAACGTGAGACAAAAGAAGTAATCTCTTCTTCGTGCGTCTATTAATGTCATAATTGTCATAAGTACTGGCTGTAGACAAAATTCATTTCCAGAATGGCTTTTGACCCTAAATAATATGTCACACATTTCTGACCAGCGACCAGAAGTCTCCCATAAATTTTTACTGCCTAGAAAAGGTAGTAAACACTTTTGAGCACCTAGGTGACTCATTTTTGCATCAATAATGGCTTCCAGCTTGTTTAAGGAGCGCATCAGGATTGGACCTAGAATATAGATGCCATGAGAGCTGGGAAATATTGTTCCGTTGTATTGGAGGAGCTAAATATAATTTCGAATCAAGAAAAACCATACTCGATTGCTTATTGAAGAGACAGGCTCGTTTGGAAAAAGATATGAGCCGGGTTTTGATAGCTTAGAATAAAGGGTAAACATGAGAAGTATGAAAGGCGCGGACTAAGAAGCACTTAAATAGATCACCTTTCAAATATTAATTAAATATTAGATAAGAATAAAATAAGATTTTTTTGACGATAAATAGATGTAATTTTTTTTAATTGCATCAAAAATAATTTGAATATCTGGCACATTTGAGTAACATGATAAATTATCGCATGACACGAGAACAATAATTTTTTGAAGGAACTTAAAGCTTTATCTAAAGCATAGTATGATATATGGCAACTAAACTCAGATTAAATGTAGGGAAACCTTAATACACTTACGAATAAGGTAAGTATCTATATTCAATATGGTATTACTACGCTTGGGCAAATTATTTTCAATATATTCTTTGGAATTGTACCAAATAGGTTTTCCCTAACTTATCTTTAGCCTCTGATTCAATATCTTAATTTTCTAATATACCTTAAATAGAAAGGGTTTACCAATCAGTGGGGTTATCTCAGCCCATTTACAATCTGTTTGGCAGAATTTTGAATGTGGCCACTAGCCCCAAACTAAGTCGTGCTAATCGTAACCACAAAGACAAATTAATCTTGCTTGAATTGAATTAGTTCATAGGATCCCCCAGTATATTTGGTATGCATTGTCAGTCTGCTGACCAAGTAGATGGTCATAGCTTATGCCGCAGCATTTCCTCAGTTTCTTTTTATGCTTTTTCGTCCATTTGAAATCTGAATATGACATAAATTGAGCTAAATATTCCTACTTCAAAAAATTTTCCAGTCAGCCCTTGAAACAGGGATTGGTAATGAATATAGCCATCACGAATAGTGATATTTAAAAAAATTATCCTCATGTTATCTTTTACTTGCTGCCTTTGCCTTCCAAGCTTTTTACTGAGATTAACTTTGCCCATTGCCTTACTAATTTTAGGTAATATAGTTACAAGCCTTTTTTAATAACAATAAATATAAGAATAAATATACATTAATCATAGAATTCACATTTGTGCCAAATATTTAGTATTTTATTAGGTTTTTTATAGGCTGATTAGTAAGGAAGCAGAACAAAACTTAACAGTTGACGTAAAATTCACTATCAAGAGCAAATCATTTGTTAATACAACTGAAAGTAAAATCCGGATATGAGGCTAATAAAGCCAAAAAGCTAAATATTATGGAATTTATAGAGATCAACAAGATATTCAACAGCCTGAATATAAATGGAAACAACTTGTGGCTTTTGGATAGGGTTAGAGAAAGAGAGAATAGCAATAATAATTACAGCCGAGCAGGAGGCATAATTAGCCTCATATCCGGTTTTTACTCTCAAGCCACAAGCTTTTCACGAGCATTGCATGCACAGCGTGTATGAAAAGTATAGAATCTCCAACCAAATAATGAGATGTCTCAGTAATTTTACTTGGATATGCTATAAAAATAAGTAAGATTGCAGCCGACCATCTTTCTTGTCTTTGTGCTTGGGTAATGCTCGTAAAGAATGGTGTCCGGCTCTAAGGATGTTCGTTACATGATAAAGAAAAGCTCAGCTGTATTAATTGGGCTGGAAATGCAGTGCACCGAGGACCTATTTGCCAAAATTCAACAATCATAGCTCCGAAAAAATCCACCTACATATTTCAGTGAGGCTGATTTACTGATTCTTTCGACTCGCCTTTTCAAACGAAATGCAAGGTACTCCAAAATTACTTCATTAAAAAAAACTTTAAATCTAATTGTTGCGAACAAATTTATTTTGGGAACATAATGGAGCTTA